TTTGATTTGTCTATGTTATCCTGAAGGGCTCCAGCCTGCTCATGCAGTCCTCGTAGGGCAGAAGCTGTGGGACAGAACCCTTAAAGCAATTCTTTGGGATCCTTCTGGTCAGGGAGGGAGGGATTCCAGTCTGCCTCCTTTTCTTTCCCTTTCTGCTTCATGGGGACGATGAAGTAGTAGTTGCAGGCGATGATGAGCTCCGTGATGAGGGAAAAGAAGCTCTGGTAGCCCACTGTGTCATCTTGGCACTGGTCCAGGTCCTTCATTATTTTCTCCATGGCCAGAGGGTCTTTTTGGTTTTCAAAAAATCCAGGGAACTCTTTTTCCATGAACACCTGAAGGTTCTCATTCGTTAGCAGCATTTGTCCCCAGAAAATTTGTGAAACGTGAACATCATCATTTCCATGACATGTTCCATTTGAGATGGCATTTTGGCAAGGTCTTGGCAAGAGGCGCAGGGTGGAAGCTCAGCAAGCTGGGACGCAGGACCAGTCAAGACTCTAACTCTTTACCCGCATAAAAAGCCTCATCTTTCTCCTGCAGAGCTGCTGGTGGTTTTGAACTGTTGGCCTTGAGACTAGCAGCTCAATCCATAGCCTACTTCACCACCATAACTCATTTTAGATAATAGAGCAGGATGGGGCAGTGTTTTCTTCTGTTGAACATAGGGTTGCTATAAGTCAGAATCAACTTAAAGACACCTAACAACAACATAGTTTGAATAGGAGCTCTGGTGGCACAGTGGATTACGTTATAGGTTGCTAACTACAAGGTTGGTGGTTCAAGCCCACCAACTTCAAGAGAGAAAGATGAAGCTGTCTGCCCCCTTAAAGATTTATAGCCTCAGAAACTCTAAGGAACTATTCTACTCTGTCTTATAGGGCTTCTGATTCACAATTGTAGTGCAGCATTATTAGGTAAACCAAAGATAGAGTTATGGGTGAGATAATTCTAGTGTAATTGTGGAGGTGGGAGAAGGACATGGACTGAACAAAAAGACTTGAAGAAAGGAGAAATCAAAAGGAGAGTGCATAGCAGGGGATGAATATTGTCATGTTGCAGGTTTGGTGTCAAACCACTACAATAAAGCCAGCGTTACAGTAAAATAAAACAAATGTTGTACTATAAACAAAACACCAAACTCGCTGCAATTGAGTTGATCCCAACTCCTAGCCGTGGTCCTTTAAGACCACCAGGGTAGAACCACCCCTCTAGGTTTCTGTGGTTGTAATTATTTATGAGAGCAGACAGCTCTGATTCATAGCAACCCGATAGGGCAGGGTAGTCACTGCCCTTGTGAGCTCCAGAGACTGTAACTCTTTACAGGGATAGAGAGCCTCACTTTTCTCCCATGGAGCTGGCTGGTGGTTTCAAACTGCTGATCTTGCTGTTAGCAACCCAACGGGTAACTACTATATCATTAGGGTTCCTACATGAGATCCAGGACATATAAACCTACAGAAACAGTAACTGGATTAATGGTTTCTTGGGGGTATGGCAGGGGAGGTTGGGAGGAAATGAGGAGCTAATAACAATGAGTACAAGAAAGAAGAAAATCTTCTAAAATTGACTGTGGTAATGATTGTACAACTCTTCTTGATATGGCTTAACTATTGAATTATATGATATGTGGTTTATGTGCCGATAAAACTGTTCTAAACATTCAACACATACTCAGTTGATAAAATAAGCAAAAATGTTCATCTCTACCTCATAAGCCAGCTGGAGTGGCTTTAGTTATGCATACTGCATGGCTAAACCTTTGACTGAAGGCAATGTCACAGAGCGGGCCACAGTAACTCCGAAGTAGAACCATGCTTCCCTAAATTAATTTCCCATTCTATTAGGCAAACTATAATGAGACATTTCAGGAGCATAACTCCTTTATGCATAATATGTATGCAGCTATTTGAAAGATTCTGACAAAGCACAATTACATCTAAGGGCTAGTTGCATTCAGGTTGAGATTACTAAGGAGGAATCAATAGAGCTGGACGATTTTCCAATCCAATCACATCTGCTGTTGCTGCAGCCTTCTTTCCACTTTGGTTTCAAATGGTTTGTTAGAAACTTATGAGTGAAAGCAAAAGCCATCATTGAATGCTTTGAACTTTTCTTGTGGCTCTTTACCCAGTTAGACAAATATTTATTTTACATATCTGTAACTATGACGTGGGAGGTATTATGAAGCCACATGTAGGGAGGCACTGGATGAGGGATGCACAATGATACAGGGAGGAGAGGCTTCCACTCTTTGTTCTCCTCAAACTTGTGTGTGTGCAGGCAGATTGATGGGCCTAATAAAGTGATCCACGTCTGCCCTGATTCCTGGAACACATGAGCTTGCTATGTTACATGGCAGTTATATGGCAAAGGGAAATTAAAGTTGCAGAAGGAATTAAGGTTGCTAATCACTGACACTAAAGTAGGGTGATTATCCTAGATTATCCCTATGGGTCTGATGTAATCACAAAGGCTCTTAATTATGATGGAGGAGGCAAAAAGGAAAGATGGAGTGAATCAGTGTGAGAATTCATCCCAGGAGTACTAGATTTGAAGAGAGAAAGGGTGGTTAGCGGAGGGGAGCAAGTGAAGGAATGCAGGAAGCCTCTAGAAGCTGGAGAAGGCAAGGAAGCAGACTCTTCTCTAGAGCTTCTAGAAAGAAAGGGAGCCTGGCTCAAAGGATCCCTTGACTTCAGCCCAGTGAGGCCTATTTCAGACTCCTAACCACCAAATTGTAAAATGACAAATTTGTGTTCTTTTAAGCCATGGTATTTGTGGCATTTGCTACAACAATAGAAAACAAATACAGTGAACTTCTAGATTCACCTGGTTTCTTCTTCCCTTGGAGTTATTGGATTTGCACGTTCACTTTAAACAAAGGCACAATAAAGCAAAAATGGAATCCCACTTTGCTATCAAAATACCTAATTTCTAAATGTCAGAGATACTGGTGGTAGCAAGTGTGACTTGCCAGGTAAAAGCTGAGTGTTCCCGTCTGTCAAGAGGATCCTTGGAAGGAAAGCCTGGCGATCCACTTTTAAGAAATCAGCCGCAACTGGTTTTTATTCCCAAATCTATACCTTATGATTGCTCCCAAAGACTTGATATTCATGTCTAATTAATATGTCCTTAAACATTTTTTTGATCCTTCCCCCCCCACCCCCAGTTATGTGGGAATAAAAATAAATGTTTTAGGGGGTAATTGAACATTTGCCTTAAGAATTTTGTAAGACTATGTTGCCAGGCCTCTGGATTCTAATTCTCTAACCTTTATTAGCTGTGGTTGTCTGAGAAAATTGACATCTCCATGCAGCTTAGCCTCTTGGTCTTTGTTCTGGTTCGAAAAGAGCACAACCAAGTGTTTTGGAATTCCTGCTTGTGAGAATCAACTCACAGTGGGTTAGTTGAGGTCTCTGAAATATTATCCATAATTTGCTAAGATCTTACAGAGTTGAATGCCTTTGTATGGTCAATAAACATAGGTTGAATATCTTTCTGGAATTTTCTGCTTTTCATCTAAGATCTAGCTTGAATTGGTCATGATATCGGTCTCTTCTCTGAATTTCTGATTGCTCCCTGTCCATCTACAGCTGCAACCATTTTTAAATTATCTTCTGCAAAATCTAACTCAAGTATGAGACTGGCATTGTTTGGTAATTTTTTTTTATTTTCTTGGATTGCCTTTCTTTAAAAGAGGCAAATGGGTCTCTTCCAGTTGGTTGACCAGGTAGTCGCTGTCTTCCAAATTTCTTGTCATAGACAATGAGCGCTTCCACCACTGCCTCCCTCTGCTGAAACATCTCAATTGGTATTCTGTCAATTCTTGGAACCTTGTGTTTAACTAATGCCAAAGTCCAAAGTGCAGTTTGGACATCTTCCTTCAATACCATTGGTTCTGGATCCTGGGCTACTTTTATGAAAGTAGTTGAAAAGAGTAAAAGTGATATTAAGGACCATGGATGTAAAGAGGTATTTTAATTGGTTGTAAAGTTTATAGCCTTGGAAATGCTCTGCCTTTAAGGGTTGCTGTGAAAAGGAATCGACTCATGCAACGGAGTTTGAGCATCTGTAAATTGGGAATTGACTTAGGGCCTTCCCAATACATTTGTGAAATAATTTTAATGAGATAACCCACATAAAATTCCTAGCATTATTGTACTTGTTGCGCTCTTTCTTAACTCAAAACCTTCTCAAAAAGAAAAGAGCAAAAAATCAGTTTTCGAAGTTTCTTGCTGTGGATGACCTGCAGGTTTAAAAAGCCATCATCTCTCATTCTAATTTCTAAAGACCCGGTATCGAACCATCCTGAAAATAGTAGCTCCCTTAGCAATGCTTAACTGTGGGTTGACAATTCTTTCCATTTTCAAATATCCATTCATTAATGTGATCTTTTGGGGAAAAAATACTGGAATAAGACAAAGGCCTAACTATAGATTCTAATTAAACTTTTTACCGCCCCTCCACCACCTCCCCCTCAGCCCCTCCACCTCCCACCCCCTCTGCCCCAAAGGCAGGGAGGGGTGCATTCTTTGCTCAGCACCAAGTGAGGTCCTTTCGCGCACCATCTCGGCTTAGGAGGGAACTGGGCGCCACAGCCAGCGCACGAGGTATTTCGCTTGTCCCCGGGCGGGCTGTGCCAGGTGAGCCCCGGCCGAGTGGAGGCCGAGCTGGGACTCGCCTTGCCGCGTTGCAGGAGCGGCGGCTAAAGGTTGCTGAGCTTGGCCTGGGGCGCACTCCTCGGCATGCTCCGGGGGGCCGTGGCCAGGCGATGCATTTGTCCTAATCCGCCCAACTTCTCGCGCGTTCACCGTGCTCTGGCTGCCCTCGTGGGTCTCCCCCCGCGCCCTGGCTCGGGTCTGGCCTCCCGGGGCTCCGGGAGGGAAGGAGGCGTGCCCGGGGCGGGCTCCATATAAAAGCGCTGGCGGCGCGCGGGCCCTGCTGCACTCGCCGCTGCCGCGCGCAGGGACCGGGGACGCCGCGGGAGGCACGGACGTGGAGCGGCCACCGCGCTCGGGCTACCCAATGCGCGCACTACCTGCCGCCGCTGCGCGAGCAATATGCTGGAGCTCCAGCGCAGCTGAACGGAGTCGCCACACCGCTGCCGGAGCTGGATCGCAGCGCTGCCTTTCCTTATGAAGAAGACACAAGTAAGTGCGGTGCCACTGGAGGCAGCTGGCCGGTTCGCCTGGAAAACGGGCTCGGGGGCCGGGGTGCCAGACTGCACTCACCCGGCGAGCCGGTGGGGTGCGGAGCTGGCGGGCGTGGCGAGCAGGACCCAGGCGGCCGGCCGGCAGCGGAGTGGGAGGGATGAGAGGGACTTGGTGTCAAGTTTGCAGGCGCCACCGTGAAGTTTGGAGCTGTCCGTTTGGATCGGCAGTTCGTGTCAAAGACAGGGATAGTAGACGCTTGGGCGCGGGAGTTCAAGTGCACGCTGGAAAGGCAGGTCCTGGCTTGGAAGACATTTGCACCTCCACCACCCCGTTCGGGATTCCGGGAAATGATGAAACACAGCCACCAACCCCCACTCCACGCTCCTTCGCTCTGCCTCCCGGGTGGGAGCAGACCCCAGGTGGGCTCAGACCCCGGAAGGCCCCCAGCCGGTGCCCCGAGCAGCGCGCCGCGGGCGGGAGGGCGGCCCCGGCCCGCCCGGGAACCTGGGCTCCCCACAGCGGGTGCCAGGTCTGCGGCTCCCCGGGAGCTTCGTAGGGTTTGCAGGAGAGGAGCCTTCCCTTTATATTTGTCTTCTTTCCAGACAAAGGAGAAACAGACTGTCTTTTTCTTTCTCTTTTTGTTTAATGGGAGGTCTCATAATCATTATTGGAGATCATGTCTTCTACTGCTAAATCGTGTATTGCCTGAAAGCCCCGCGGATACAGCTTAGCTCCAGGACGAAAGGAGACCTTTCTCGTGGACCGGAGTCCCTGGTTCGTTAGTAGACCCCGCCGCGGCGCCCCGTGCACACTTCATGATGCCTCCAGGCGTTCTTGCCCTTTCTCACGCCACCCCTAGAATCTGTTCAGTGCACCCACGGCGCGCTGGGGAAAGCTGCCCTTTCACCCCCAAGAGGTTCTGCAGGAGATTGCAGTTCCTGAAGTGTCCCCCACGTCCAGACGCAGACAGGGAGCGGGGCGAGGACATCGGACGGCTCGCACAAATCATCACTTTAAGAAGGAAGAAGGCATCCCTCTGGATTCCGAAACTGCTTTGTTGTAGAACCCGTTTACCATTTTCAGTAGATGGCATGCAGACATTCAGAATGAAGTAGGAAGCATCAAGCCTCTGGCACCCGAGTTGGTAGAGAGAGAGGGAAGGGACACTGCCGGGCAGAAAGGAGGTTTGTGGCGAAAGAAGCCGCCTGAGACCCAGAGAAGCAGACCGCCTATCTCCGTGGGCAAGCCTGTTAGTACCTAAGGGGTGCGCCTACCATTCAGCCAGGAGATCTCCATGGCGCGCTATTGTAATGCAAATGTCAAAGATTCTTGCTACAATAGAAAAGTTGTGATGTAATTCCTTTATTTGTATAAGCTTTCCGCTTTGAGTAATAAACCCTAGCTGGGAAGTTGTTTCTTGATATAGTAGCAATTGTTCCTGTGATGGTCCTGTTAACTGCGTCCAGAAGCCGCTACCTGCTACCTTACAGTTCAGAAAGAGATCCCCAAAGTCACTATCTAAACAACACTGTTGACAGATCAGGTTAATGTCCAACACTCCAAAGTGGGGCGAAGTACTATCAAGTCACTCGGAGAGTCAGTAGGAGTGATGATCCTTGCACCCTTGCTTTGCAAAACAAATGTGAGCTCTCTAATCTCCTTTCTCGCTTTGATTAAATGGCTGTGTAAATCGGATTACATGGAATAATTCCATTGAAAACTAGAAAGAGGTCGATCTACCCTGAAACCTTGTGGCATTAGTGACTCAGTGCTGCTGGCCAGGGACATTTGAGACAGCTAAGTATTTTAGAAATGTGACCTGCTTGGACCAAGTTAAAGTGCAAGCCCTTTGGGGGGAACTTGCTGGTGTTAAAGGACTTGCAGGGGAAGGAGGGCAGTGCCCTTGTTGAATGAAGACATTCATTGCTTGGCTCTAATGACCATCAAGGTTTCCTTTAGGGAAACCCAGAGCAATTCTGCATTCCTGCCACTGAGAAAATGGATACTGGATATGTGTCACATCATCAAGAAAAGTATCCCAAAGAAGTGGGGAAGGAGGGGGGGGGATTTTATCTACTACCTATTGTCAAAATTTCAAATTCAGAAGTTACAAAGATGTATTCTGTACAACCTTGCAGTGATGTTAGCAGAGCATAAGGAAATCAGACACCAAGGAGTAGAATCAGTTCTTCCTACTGTAATCCTCGCTGGGGAACACCCTCAAGATGTTTAAGCAGTCATTTGTAAAGATCGCAGCAATTCTCCTTTAGTTTTAAAGGCTCAGTGCTCTCCTCTCACACAAGATACAAAAGGACAATTGAGTTTAAAAAGATCGACTTGAACCACACAGCTCCCTAACAGTCACAGGGACACCCTACCTTCTGGCCTTTCAATCAAGCTCAATAAGTGTGAAAATTCCATCTACAACCACTTGGGGGTTGATGAATGAGTCTTTTATTTATTTAGCATGTGTGATGAACTTCTGTATTTGTAAAATAATTGCACAGGCAATCATCTGGAGGAGCGATTGAAACAATACATTTAATCACAGATCTGCAGAAATGAGTGTGCTTCCTATTTTTCAGATTTAGAAGTATGTTTTTTTGATAAGTGTGGTTTTACAGATTCTAAAAAAAAAAAAGAAAAATTGTGACTTTGGCTTAACAAGCAATCTGCTACCGTTTTTGTTTTGTTTTTTTCCAAAACACAATACTCTTCTATACTGGCATGTTAAATAACAACTGGGACAGCATATTTTGCAGCACCAATTAAGACCTGGTTAAATATGCTATCAGTTCAATGAGCCTGACACTGTTTTTTGGCTGGCTATTGTACTTACATGTAAGGTTTTGAAATGGTTTATAAGTATTATCATGACTGTTGTCAATGTCAGAAATACTGAAATAGGAAAGATTCATTTCGCACACAGTTTTGAAAAGGCCATTTTAAGGCCATGTTTATCCCTCGGTGTTTTTTTCAGAGAAGCAGCAGATAGGATGCTTGTTTGTTTTCCAGACTCCAAACAAAATTTGCCTTTTTCTTTTTGTCTGTAAGGAGCTTGTCATGGGAGTGAGGGTGCAGGCTTCCTGCACAGAGAAAAAAAGGAACATCTTCATGAAAAGAGCATTTAAAAATCTTGTCTTTAAAATCTCTGTGCTTCAAATAATTTTAATTTATGTAACTTTTAATTGGGTACATTCTGCCAAGGCTTTAAAACCCAAGTGCTAAATTGATTACATTTAACATAAAACAAGGAAAATAACCATATGGAAATCTGAAGGCCTGGGCCAAAGCAATTAAAATTGCTAAATTTTTATTTATGTCTAACTGCTGATTTGAAGATTACAAATTGTGACTCATATTTGCTCCTAAATCGTTCCATTACTAAAAAAAGCATTAAAAAAAATAAAAATAACCCTGCACCACGAGTAAGTCTGAGCATTGGTGGTTGACCATTTGCATGGTCTTCTGACCCAACTGAACCTGTTCTTCTGAGTTCACTCCGGAGAGTGGGAAATAATCTGGTAGAAGGATTGTAGGCTCTGGCCTCAAAAAACAACTGGGCTCTGAAGATCTAGAGCAGACATCCTCAAACTACGGCCCGCGGGCCACATACGGCCCACCGAGGACATTTATCCCGCCTGCCCGGTGTTTTTGCCCCGTTTTTTTTACTTCAAAATAAGATATATGCAGTGTGCATAGGAATTTGTTCATATATTTTTTTAAACTATAGTCTGGCCCTCCAACGGGTCTGAGGGACAGTGAACTGGCCTCCTGTTTAAATAGTTTGAGGGCCCCTGATCTGTAGTCTAATTCTTGTTGTCTCACATGTGAGATAAGTGGCCTTTGGCAAATGGGTAAACTGCTTGGGATTTTCCTTTTGTAATTTGTACAGTGAGTATAAAATAGTGGTAAGTATTTTCCTCACATGGTGGTTGTGAGGATTAAATGAGATTTTATATCTGTCTTTATCCCAGCATAGTGCTTTCTTGTCTCATTTACCACTTGACTTTTATTGTTCTTTGAGAATTGCCTGCCAGCTAACTTTTACAAGCCAGAGAAAACTGGCTACTACAGGTACATGCTTCCCAAGCCAAGCACACAGACCAGGCGTTCCTAAATCCAAATCTGTTGATTGATTCAGTGCCTCCCATTATAGGCTGATAACTGTTTATTGACTTTAATGAATACACCCTAAACTGGGGAATGTGTGGAAATGAAAGTGATATGTGGGTGGGAGAGATGTTAAATTCTTTTAAGGTTTTTGGTTGTTTTTTTTCCAAAGTAAAAATGAATGAGAGTACTAGGAGAACACAAGTGAAAATAGACAAATTGTTACAATCTGACTCAGGTCTAATTTTTACTCCTTTGCTCTCTAAGTTCCCCTGGTATGATTCTGTGGGATTTTGTCTTAAAGATACAATCAAGAGACTTGGTCAGTTTGCTGTCCGTAGTGCTTTTTGCACTTGCTCTTTGAGTGAGGCCATGACTTCGTTTCTGCACGGTTTCTTTGTTGTCTTTCCTAGGCAACAAGCAGGGACTTTTTTTTTCTCATTAGATAAGTTTGGGGTGAGTGTGTGTGTGTGTGTGTGTGTGTGTGCGTGCGCGCGCGCGCGCGCGCGCGCAGGCGCGTTCTGCTTTTCTAGATTACCTTAGTGCTCTTTTTTGTACATTAGGGAAGGGCATTTGGATGTAAATCTCTCGGGAGTGATCCTTTATCTTTCTTTTCTAGTGCATGAACCGAGAGCAGCTGCAGGAGACTGTTTTTGGTCTTAGTCACCTTTACAGTCATAACAATTTATGAAACACATTGAGGGAACACCAGGATGCTTTTATAGTGCACACTGTTTTCAGGGTTGTTTTGTATGGAGACATTATCTCATAGGAACCATGGGCTGTAGTCTGGCTGATTGCAGAAATTTATTGTGCCTTTTTATTTAATTCTGGGCATAGTAAAAATGGTGGGCAGGAAAGGTGGATGCTGGAGAGCATGGTCA